TCATTAAATTAGTGCTATTACATTACTAGGCATGAGAATAAAGGATTATTTCCCCCTGTAAAGGAATGGATTTAACTGCAACTATGCCTCTAGTGACGTCACGTTTAGCCACACCCACTGACAGGAAGTAACCTGGCATGAAGGAAAAATAGGCATTTTTGAAGGCTCATATCTCAGTGAATAATTTTTTTCAGGCAATGGGAGTTGGAGCACATCATTAGTATGGTCAGGCAATCATATTAAGCAAATAAAAAAAATACCTCAAAAATGCATTGAACTTACCCTTTAAGAATGGAACTGAGCTATTACATATACCGTATAGCGCTTTATTTTCGAGGAGTTAAACATTCACTATTTTCGCGGTTAGCATGAAACTACGAAATTAAAGATCCGCTAAAATTTCTATTGCCATTAAAGGTGTGGCACTAACATTGCGAATCCGCAAAAATTATTTCCACAAAAAATTGATTTTTATTAATCCGCAAAATTTTAGCCCCACAAAATTAAAGCGCTATACGGTACTTTCTTTCTATGACTTACTACTACAACTGCCGACTGGATTGCCTTTATCTGCTCTGATGGCTAGACAATTAGGCAAGTAAAGCAATGCTTCGAGAAATAATGTGCTTAAATCCAAGATGAATTCAGCCACCATGATTGCTCTAACTTCAGTACTGCCGAAAAAAGCCCAAAATGAGAAGTACTTTACTGCTTTATTTTTCTTGATGTCAGGAAGCAAGTATGAAGTATAAAATAAGTATACAAGCAAGTATAAAATCAGTATAAAAATAATAAATCCACAATATTGTGGTGCGTGGGCGTGTTTATAGAGATTAACATTCTTTGCCCACGCAAATCAAAACATTGAAAACATGAGTTGATAGGCATGGCACCAGACTCTTATTCGATAAATTAGAGTCTGGCTAGCGAGACTAACTCAAGCCCAGGAAGTGATCACAGACCCCACCCAATAATTAACACAATGCAATGTAATATTGAGAAAAGTATGGCTGTACTTTCTGCATGAGTTATACAACCAACTTGGAGCTAAAGAGCTATGGCTGCTTTTTAAGTATCACAATAGATGCGACAAAAGGCTCAGGTGAATGCAAATAAACTTTATTTTTGCAGAGCAAAACTTTTGTGAGTTAGCACTACACCGTCAATGGCAATGAAAATTTTGTATAGCTTTAATTTTGCAACTATGAAAAATTTTGCTCTATTTCTACATTTAAATCAAACCATAAAATTATAGTTAATGTCTCACTCACTCAGCATTAACAATATTCACTAGGCCAATACAAAAACACTAAAAATAAATTGAAAAATAGCATAAAAAGAAATAGGTACATGTATAAAGCAATTTTGGTATACAACAAATCAGCAATGGATTTTAGACAAACAAACAGCACCAGCAAAATCAGATGTTAATGTTAATATCCTTCAGGTATGGTTTCTGAAGCAAGAGTATCATAGCAATCAAAGTTACCATTATCATACAATTCAGGCCTGTCATCAGATACTTTAGATGCTTCAGAAGACATAATCAAATTAAGAAGACGGCGAACTTCTGGTGACATCTTTCCTTCAGCAATTCGACAGATTAACTGATATTTTTCAGCATCAGCCACGTATTTTGCTTCCTCAGCCTTGTACTTAGCCTGCTCAACATCAGCCATGTGTTTTGCTTCCTCAGCCTTGTACTTAGCCTGCTCAACCTTGTACTTAGCCTGCTCTGCTTTATATTGCTCTTCCTTAGCTAAATTTTCTGCTTTAGTTTTCTCTATTTGAGCAGTAATCTTGTACCTCTCCAATTCAGACCTTTGACTATCTTTGGCTTGATCTTTTTCTATCTCTTTCAATTTAATCTCCTTGTTGGAATTTATTTGAGCAATC